GGGGGGGCGTAAACGGTAATGAAGATCTCTGCTTTCTTTGCATCCAGATTTTTTTAGCTGTAGCCAGCTACCATGATAAAATGTATACTATTAGTATCTTACATGTTCTCTTGTGTTGACTAACCTCCATATTATGCTTGTTCTTTTTTCAGATGTTTATAATAACGCTATTTATTATAACACTATGCTTTATCTCTCTGACGTCTATTCATTTGCCATATTATACATGATGAGTGAGCTCTACGTCGATATGCGCCTATGAGAATAAGAGTGCATATGGTCGCTTTTAATCATAAGAGGGTGATCCCGAAAAACGCTGTTTTGAGAAAATCGAAGGTAAAGTTGTTGCCCCTTGTTCAATTTCTTTTAAAAAGACAAGGAGAGTTTTCTCTAAAACCAAACAAATATACTCACCAATGAAACCAAACTTCCTCGATGGGTAGAACAATGCCCACTTTTGGTGTAGGTCAAGATTTCTGGAAACCCCCGGAATATGGGTTAACCCGCTTGTCCTTAAAAGCGACCATATCTCCACTTGACGTCAAGATTGACCTGGATAAAGCGCTGTCACATGTCTTGGTCTAAGAAAAGTCTAACGTTATAGCGATTGTTTTGAAGTTGATTATTTTTTTCTTAGAACCAAAAATTGATTCTTAGTTAATTTTACGTGTAATTTTATGAAAACGGAATATCCCAAATTGCTCAGAACTGTTCACTGTTCAAAGTTGAATTCGATCCCCCTTCTTCCTTTGAGCATGTCTTATTATTACTGTTGTGTTAATCTTGGTCCGTGCGCACGGCGCAATTCTGAAAGGGAAAGTCGCTTTATACGGCGTGTAGTCTAAATTCTACACACTGATACTATATTATTTATATAGGGCCCTGTAATGCGGGAGCTTTCACTCTATCATCATAACCCCATGCAGTTTTCACCAGACAGCCTGAGCACGGCATTTCCTAGATGCTCTAACAGTGCTCTCAACCTGCAACCCATAGACTTGAATTATAATTTATAATACATCATGTTAGAATGATATCCTAGACTGCGCACTGTTGTGGTCGCTGCTCTTTGCTCTCCGTTTGTTTGTTTGTTTGTTTGTTTGTTTGTTTGTTTGTTTGTTTGAGGAAAGAGAAGCCAATCGACAGATACATTAATGGTCATTTTGTGCTTGGAAAAAGTTAGACAGACAGACATACAGAAACAACAGATGGAAAGTAAAGAAGTAGGATGCACCAGTAGCGCCCTCCAACCACCCACCCTTTGCTCTCTAACTACTGTAAAGACCTGACTATGATGTGTCCGCATCACGGGCTCCAAAATGAATCGCAAAATTACGCTCATCTCGGTTAAGTTGAGTGCTCGCACCACCCCCCTTCCCCGTTTTTTTTTTCTCCCTTCATCTAGTTCCAATTTGAGTGAAATGGTGCGCTCCATAGTAAACCGTAATTGCGTCAGAGTGCGCAGTCTTAGATATTATTAAACACGTCTTTGCTTCAGTTCCACTAATCCTTCCACTAATCCTTCCACTAATCCTTCCACTAATCCTTCCACTAATCCCTGTCCAATCTAGCCAATTTCCTGCCTGGGGCACATACTCTTTTATTTCTCTGTGTTTTATACCCAGATAACTTTGTTTTGCTCCAACAGCCTGCTTACTACCTTTGCTGCCCGTTGATTGGTGCGCATCTAACAGCAGCGTGCCTTCATTTTTATGACATGTTTTCTTAGCTTTTTTAAAAATATTTTTTTTAAATTATTTTTTTTTTACTCAAATGTTCTTTGACTTAAGTTCTTTCAGAAAGGGAAAAGAAAAACCAAGTTTGTTGGGTTTTTTTTCTATTTTCATAATGAATTTCAAGGAAAAATACGGCAGATTGTTCTTATTGATGATAATGGTTTGCCCCGTCACTCTTTTTATGTTACAATTTTCTCATAAATGAAATGACCAAACGAAGTATAGTGCTATGGCTTTTCGTGATCAATAAATGTTAATGTTTCAGGTAGATTCTCTTTATGTTTGTTTAAAGAATATTTATTTAGAATTGCTTGTTAAGGTTTTGTTTGTTTGATTTCGATTGTAGAGAATCAGATACGCTTACAAAATTGTTTGCAAACATGCATTTCTCTTATCATCTTCATTTTGGTTGCAAAACGTTAGCACACATGTATTTGTCTCATCATCTTAGTTTTTGTTGCAAAACCTTTGCAGACGTGAAATTTTTCTCTAATAATCTTTGATTCTGTCATTAATGGTCTGCAAATTGATCAGGAAGATGACGCCTGGGTTGTGAAGTATTATCATGGATACTTCCAGAAATTGTTGTACAGCGTAGTTGTATTCTGGTTGTTAGTGTGTGTAGGTGCGTGTGTGTGTCTGTGGGTTTGTTGTTGTCGTTGTTGTTGTTTTTTTTGGGGGGGGATGTTTGTGTGTAGGGGTGTATGTGAGTGTGGCTGTATGTGTGTGTGTATGTGTGTGTTTGTGTGTGTGTGTGTACGCTCCAGTGTTCGTGTGTATATATGTGCGGGCAGGTGAACAGTGTATGAGTTTGTTTGTGGAGGGTGGGAGAGGAGGGCTGGGTTTTTTTTAGTTGTACTGTATTTTTAGGGAGGCAGGGTGTGTGCGTGCGTGCGTGTGTGTGTGTTTGTGTGTACGTGCACATGCGTGTATGTGTGTGTGTGTGTGTGTGTGTGTGTGTGTGTGCGTGTGAGCAAAAGAGGGAAGAATATATAACCACTCTGTGTCCCTGGCGACAAACCGTTGACCTTGCCGCTCCTTGTCCTTGACCTTCAGCGGTTCCCCTGGGCATCATTGTGGTGGACAACAACGCCGACCTGGAGCAGGTGCGGGAGGAGATCAACAAGATGCTGCAGGTAACGCAACTGGCGCGCGCGCGCCGCATGCACATACGCACATAATTGTACACGTATACACGCATACATATACACACATGTGCACATACACATGCGCACACATGCAGACACATACACGAGCACGCACGCACGCACGCACGCAGACACATAACGCGCGTACACGACACACACATACAACACGCGCATTCATTCACTCACTCTTTTCTTTTCCCTCTCTCTCTGTCTCTCTCTCCTTCCCTCTGTCTCTGTCTCTCTCTATCTCTCTTTTCTCTCTCTTATTCTCTTTCGCTTACACACTCACACACACATACACACACTCACACACTCTCTCTCTCTCTCTCA